GAAATTTCTGTCTCTTGTGTAATGCCTCCTCCGCCCCGCCACTCTCAAACACGTCGTTTTCAACAAAGCCCCCTCCTTCCGACAAGCGCAGACTGCTCTGATTGGCCAGCTGACCCAGTGCATTGTGATTGGCCAAACACCACAAGCACGCGTCGAAAATGTAACACCCCATACCATAATCGTGAGCGTCAACTTTCAAAGTAAATATCAAGACAGTTAATAATGTCGTTAGTTTTACCATCAGTTCATTCCCGGAAGGGCAACAGAGTTGCGTGACAGACACAGTGATGATGCAGTACACAAGCCGCGGTTAAGACAGCTGACGTGCTATGATTTCTGACAGGCAGTTCACTCTCCTGTGATGCGACTAGGGCTGGGTATCGTTCAAAAATGTTAGATATCGATACCGATACCTTGACTTCGATACCGGTTCCTGAACGATATTTTTTTCGATACCAATTTTATGAAATCAATTTTAACAAGATTACATTATCTAAAAAAATAAAAAACTTTGGTTTCTATAGTCAGTTTTACTTTTATTTTACATTTATATTTAGGCTATTACATTTAGATTTAATCTAGAGAAATTGCTCTTTGTGAGTGCAATCTTAATATACAGTGCCTTGCGAAAGTATTCAAACCCCTTCATGTTATGTTGCAGCCTTATGTTAAGCTTTAAATTACTTTTTATTTCACATCAATCTACACTTCATACACCATAATGGCAAAGCAAAAACAGAACTGTAACAACTTGTACATTTATAAAAAAAAAAAAAAAACTTTGGTTTTATTTTTCAGCTTGTTGATGTTTATACAATCTCAAAGACTCATCTCCTGAGCCACTGCACAAAGGAACAAAGTGTAACCAACACAATAAATAGTTTTAAATAAATAGCTAATAGTTTTAATAAAGCTCAAATAGTCTTCAGTTTACACATCTGTTGTGTTCGTTTTAAAACGCCTGTCGCTTGGAGATGGTGGAAAGCCGGCTTGAAACGCAGTGGAAACGCCAGTATGACGAGGATCGTTTTCATTTTAAAACATAAAAGCACCAGTGTAAACGTACACAAATGGCTGGGACGCATTAGCACTACAGCCTCACGTGTGTGCCACATCTCTGAGTGTAACCTGTGTAAACTAGTAGGTGTGTTCGACGTGTTCGCGGACCGACTGTGCAGACTGATCAGTGTATTACAGTACCATGAGAGCTAAAGAGAGCAGACTGCTCCGTGCGCTTTTGAATCGCTCTCGCGGATGTCAAACACTGATCGATCTGCGCCGCACCTCTTCTAGTCGAACACACCGGCTAGTGCTGCAGGCTTAAGGCCAAAGTATACTTCGGCCGTCCGCGTCCACATTACGTCATTTTCGTCATCAGGAGGGCTCGCGGACAGCCGTGCACCCCGTCCGTGTGCAGGCAATTTTTTGAGACCGTGCGGATGGTCCGCGTACAACTGCACAAGGCGAGGTGAAAGTAGAGACAGAGCGCAAGTCAAACTGCGCCTGTGTTGAGCTCGTCCATCTGCACTCATCCGCGGTTGAGTATACTTTGAAAGCTGTGCGGACACGGCTGAGCGTGAGACGGAACGGAACGCGGAAAGTGAAGTATACCCGGGCCTTTATTGGCTCACTGACCCTGATGAGATTAACCCCTTAAGTATCGAAAAACATATATTAAGATGTTTTTCGATACTCGATGGTATCGAGGCAATTCGGTTGGTGCATAAAAAACTCGCGTGGCTGACTCTTAACTTTTATAAAGAATATCTCTTTGGATTTGAGACTTTAGTCTTTGCAACTTTACAGATCTTCTTTTATGCACCAAGAGCTTGTAACACCCCAAAGAGAAAGGAAAACTTGAAATCGCATCATATGACCCCTTTAATATTTGCTTCTGTTAAAGCCATCAGTGCATTATTTCAACTTTTTTCTTCCTAAATTCTAAAACTAAAACTAATTTGTATATAAAAATCCATATTTTGGAACAAATGATTGTTGGGAATAATAGTCCCAGAATCAATGTTGCTGTAAAAGTGGTCAAAAACTGGTATGCCGTATTCACCCTGTTGTCGTATAAAGGCTCCAAAAAAAGAAGGTCCATCTGTTGAATTGTATATTGATATGCCAGTTGTGGCATTGCTTGGCAATTGTAAACAACACTCAGTCACACAGTATCTACAGTACACTGGAGGATCAGACTCGCCTTACAATCAAAAGGAACTACTTCAACACGGTCTGGAACTGGACTGAATCTATTAAAAAGCCAAGCTATGTTCTAATACTTTAGCTGACAGAGAGAGGATTGCGAGTGTAAGAAAATAATTGCCCAGCAAAGACACATAACAGAAATCAATAACAATAATCTTAGATACTGTTGCATCGATTTTTTGCTTGAATTCCCTTTAGGGATCTGTCTGTCTGTCTGTCGGTCTCTATGCGCAGGGCTCTAATTGAGGTTATTGCCTCCTTAGAGGCTCTTCCTGTAAGGAAGACTGAAACAATGGGACGCATAATTTCATTTAGTAATTTGCATTTCAAATGAAGCCTCTCATTTATTAGCCTCCTGCTCTCTCTCTCTCTCTCTCTCTCTCTCTCTGTAGGTAATTATTTTCTGTGAGAAAGTATTAAACCAGGTTACACTGACTCTCTCGAGTCTCTCCTGAACCTGCTTTAACAGCAGAACTCTCACAGACTGACTCATAAATAATAACGCACATGAGCAATATCACTCGAGTACGAGAGCGATACCGGCTCTATATCAGCATGGCTGTGATTAGGCCAGAGGCAATCACAGCCGCTGATATAGAGCCGGTATCACTTCTTCCTTCTGCCACGGATTCAAAGCTCAAGTTGACTGTTAAACATACGTCACTTTTAGAATTTGTATCAAGGGCATGTGCTGCTTCAGTTGGGTTATTAGTGAGAAATAATGAGGTTATAAGAGAGAAACAATGCGGCAAGACGTGCATCCAAATGAGAGAACGAGAAACCGCGAAGCTAGACGTTTCTTTTTATATTAACTAACGTACTCTACGATTAGCTCAGTGAACAATTTAAAAAAAAAACATAGACCCGGCTAGAACAAGCGGAGTGATACAAAATTGTGAAAGGGCGTTCCTGTAGCGATACCAGTACAATATCTCACGGTTCTCAACCAATCAGATTTGAGAACCAGAACGAACTGTTGTATAAAAAGAAATAGTGATACTGTAAGCAGTATTTCAATTTCAGCAGATAAAATGTGTGGCATGGACCACGTCAGTGTAACAAGTGGTCTGAGCAGCACTTTACCTATACTGTGAAACTGCCATCGACTGTTGATTTTCTCAGGTAGAAGTTGCAGAATTTTCTGAAAGGAAAAATAAGGACACAGTGATTACGTTAAACTAATAACATACAATTCAAGAGCTCAATGTCAGTAACATGCCAATTGCTAAGTTTGTATGATATTCTCTTCTGTCTCAGGCTACGTTTACACGACAACAATGTAGTCAAAAACGGAAACGTTTTTCCCTTGCGTTTTTAAAAAGTTTCACGTATACGCGACAACGGTTTCAAAACGATTTGTGTTTACACATATCCGCGAAAATGGCCAAAAACACTATATTGCGTATGCCAGGCCAGTAGTTGGCGCTGTCACCTTGTTAGTAAACAGTATCTGTTGCCGTGTGTATATGATGCGTCTCCACTCTTGGTTGTAATACTGGTGAAGTAAATCCACACTTTGCTGAAGAAGCGTTATCAAACTCTTAAACAGCAACAACTGTACCATGTACTCCGCCATTGTTGTGTATGTTTGTTCGCGTTTGCCTTTAAAATCAACACATACTGCACATGTCTACATACGTAACACGTACTACCCGCGCACATGATGTCACCGTTTTCAAAGATTCACGTTTTGGGTGTTTACACGGAAACGATAACGATGGCGTTTTCAAAAACATGCACTTTGAAACCCGTTTTCAAAAATATGCGCTTTCAGTCCCCAAAACACCATTGTCGTGTAAACGAACAGGCAAAACGCATAAAAAGTTTCCCGTTTTTGGCTGAAAACGTCGTGTAAACGGCCCCTCAGGTTCCTCCTTCAATGTACAGCAAGTCAACAGTTTTATTGTTCACCAGGCCAAAACACAAACTTTGCTTACAGAGAAGTAAAGTAAACCTTTTATTTATCGTTCATGTTTTGCTGCCCACTAGAGGTATGTGATATGTATCATATGATATAGTTACGTAACATCACTTAAGCAAGTGTGCCGTTTTCCTGATTATGAACATGCAAATGTGATACAGAATTTTTACAAAAGTTTAATATTGAGAGTTACATTTTAGACTTTTTTGACTTAAGTTCCAAAACTTAAGTCTTAAACAAATGGTTTTAAAAAGGCACAACAGAACTGTTGTGCTTCTTAGAACAATACACAGCAGTTTTGTTCCTGAATAAATTAATGAGTTTATGAACAAATTAGAATGAATGAATGAATGAATGAATGAGTGACTCAATGATTAAAACTCGCTGCCACCTACTGCTGATTTTAGACACCATATTATTAGTGTCTATTTACAGACAGTAAGACGTGTCCCTGTTAAGCGATACATACAGAGACAGGTGGGATAAGATTCACACTAATGGACAACGATAATGTCATCAGTGGCAGTGCATTATGAGTAATGCTATTATGAGACACTCAACCAAAGAACAGCAACATGGGATCAAATCTGTCACAACAACTCAAAGAGTGGCATCTGTGACACTCTACAAGAAGAGGACACCATAATGTCACCATAATCGCACGTGCTACGCGACAGCCGTCACTCAAGGTGTTAACATGTCATTCTCATTTACTTCCTGTGTTGATGTGGAACGTGATGGCACATGAGTATGAGAGCTTTCAAGCACCTCTGTATTGATCTTCAGCTTGTGGAAGGAAAGCTCTGGATTACAGCCTGTCATTGTCGTGAGGAAACTGACAAATAACTGGAGCTGATATCCAGTGGCGGGATCTGTTTAAGCCTGCACACTTGGGGATCGCAGAAGAAGCCTGAGGTTTCAGTAATGCTTCTTGCGGCGGTAACAGAAAGCGCTCCCCTGCCGTGCTGCAGCGGTGTCTGGGATGGCGGATTTGAGAAGGGTGGTGCAGTTGTTGCTGCAAAGCGTGGCACAACCAGTTATTAGA